TTAGAACGTATCCCCTATGATTCCATACTAATTACCATTCCATATCCACGGTTTCTGTATTCGCGGCATATTTATAGAACGTATACCCCGCGAATAAAGAGCTTTTACTGTACACGTATGATTACTTGATGATTATTTAAACAGTAAAATGAATATCGTAAAAATATTACCTTTTTTGGATCTGGCTCCAACTTTTAATCTACTAGGCCAAGTAATATGAGTGTTCGTGTCCTCCATGATCTAAATTACAATAAAATTGTTAAGTAGTGAGATAAATTTTAGAAAGAGTAAGTAGCAATAAATATATAATATTTTAATAAAGGTATACAGCGAAAAAAAACTCGAATCTGTACTACATATATTCTTTCATTATGTCAATTGCATAGTGGTTAGCGCTTTAGTATCGCCTTACGTTTTCTAAATTTTTTTGGATAGGGTTGGAAAAATTAGAAGTCTCTTACGGGAATAAGGTGAAATATACAATTAAAGAGGTGTTGATTCATATGACCCTAATAGGCTATTTGCTTAACCAAAGTGAAGGGAACGGCGCGAAATGTTAATATTGTAAGGTGTGATAGGTCAAAAAATTGTCATTTAAATACCTTTTCAGAACATAAAATTACCTCAGCTATATCTTTTAACTTTAATAAATTGGTTGTTTAAACATTTTGACAAAAAATAGAATTAAAACCAGAAAAAGCGTTATTGCAAGTAAATCAAAAAGTAGCGTTTTCATATGTTCGAATAAGAAAATAGACTGTAGGAAAAACAGGGTTACTTTCGTTTTTCGCTATCTTCAAGCAAGTGATCTGTAGGCTCCCTAATAATAGATCCAGAGGCAAAACTGCTGTCGCGAACGGATAACCAAATTCGTGAAATGGACAAACAAAACACGAACTCAATAATCAATTATCATTTAGTTTTGTATAGGTAAATATAAATAAATGTATCATAGAAATATTAATATGCAAGGAAAGAAAAAGAAGAGAAAGAGTGTATATAAAAATCATTCTCATAAGGTCGTCAGTCTTAAGACTGGTTGGACACGTACCTCCACTTTCATAAGTCTTATCGCCGATCATCTTTTCTTGTTAAGTTTGTAAATATATTATTGTGTTGTTGTCTTGTTATTTCTTCGTTATTAAGTCCTCCAAATACTCTCACAAATTATAAAGTGGCCAACGTGCTAAATTGATGTTTTGATGTAGGCGTTATTTTTTCAGTTCGTTTATCCAGGGTACACCTGAACGGTTCTGTATCAGCCTCAAATCAAATCAAATGGCTGCCCAATCAGGATTTGTTATAGATGCAAAATTTTTAATATTGTGTCCACCACCACTTGCCAACTGTGTCAGTATTTTTTCACACAATAAATTTTCTCGTCCCGCATGTTTGGCTAATCGGTATGTGACTTTTTCTTCATTGGAAACCATTAAACCAAACCCCAGTTCTTATATTTTGATCATATAATCAAATAAATACTTCATAGAACGCCTGATTGCTTACTTTTTGAATGCACATTCTCGTAGTTTCGATAAGATAGACCTTTATCGTGGGATGTTNGAATTGACTTGGGTTGGATTGTATTGTGTTTTATCATGTTAGATTGGTTTATTAAGGAAGGGAACGGCGCGAAATGTTAATATTGTAAGGTGTGATAGGTCAAAAAATTGTCATTTAAATACCTTTTCAGAACATAAAATTACCTCAGCTATATCTTTTAACTTTAATAAATTGGTTGTTTAAACATTTTGACAAAAAATAGAATTAAAACCAGAAAAAGCGTTATTGCAAGTAAATCAAAAAGTAGCGTTTTCATATGTTCGAATAAGAAAATAGACTGTAGGAAAAACAGGGTTACTTTCGTTTTTCGCTATCTTCAAGCAAGTGATCTGTAGGCTCCCTAATAATAGATCCAGAGGCAAAACTGCTGTCGCGAACGGATAACCAAATTCGTGAAATGGACAAACAAAACACGAACTCAATAATCAATTATCATTTAGTTTTGTATAGGTAAATATAAATAAATGTATCATAGAAATATTAATATGCAAGGAAAGAAAAAGAAGAGAAAGAGTGTATATAAAAATCATTCTCATAAGGTCGTCAGTCTTAAGACTGGTTGGACACGCACCTCCACTCTTTCCTATCCTGAGCTAATCTTCGAATTTCCCTAAAACTTGAACAACCCACATCCTTAACTATTTGCGAACAGTAATCCAATCTAGATCCAGTTCTCTGACTAGACCTTCATGCCTGAGGAGGTGTCCTTCTAACCTATCTCGCCTATTCCTTATTGACTTCTATAGAGTCCTCTGTTCACCTATTCCTTCTAATACCTTTACATTTCCAACCTTTTCCATTCCCGATATCCTCATCATTTGCCTGTAACATCACATTTCGAATGCTTCTAACCTTTTCTTTTCTGCCGCGCCCACTGTCCATATTTCGCACCCGTACAACGCCGCGCTCCAAATATACACCTTCAACAATCTTTTAGAATGTCTAAATTGACCGTTTCGCGAGCATAGAAGTGACTTCTTTTTATTGAAGGCGACTCGACCCTGCACTATCCTCTGCTTTATATGGCTACCGTTCCTTCTGTCCTGACTTATCTGACTACATACCTAAAATCGGCCACTTCTGATTTTTCTATCTTTATATTCGCTCTTTACCTACTTTTTCTTCCCTTGCATACCAGTATTTTTGTTTAATTTTATTTATTTTCATGCATCACTCCTTTGTCAGTACCGCATCCATTTTATTTAAAGCTATCTCTAACTCCTTCTTGCTAGATGCTAATACTGCTATATCATCTGCTACAATTAATCTTTTGTCCCTGTATATCTATTCCTACAGTTGTACTGTCTTTAATAATGTTGATCGCGCCTTCGATGTATAGATTAAGAAGTAGCGGTGAAAGTGTGCATCCCTGTCTGACTCCCTTCCTAATATTTACTTCTCTACGTTGCATCCCTACCTCTATAACTGCCTGTTGCTCTTTATACAAACTAAGTATCACTCTTCTATCTTTGTAGCTCATCCCAACGTTTTTAAGTATATTTAACATCTTGTCCCATTTCGCATTGTCAAAAGCTTTTTTAAATCTACAAATCCTATGTACGCACTCCGTTTCCTTTTTCTATCGTTTTCTCAATTGTCACTTGTAAAGCTAGAATGACCTCCCGCGTTCCTCTATTTCTTCTAAACCTCTATCTTAGCTGCCCTACACTTCCTAATTTTTCCCCACATTATAGCCTTATATCTTTTTTGCCCTTCTTCGTCTGTCTTGTTTTTATATTTCCGCCTTTCTTATATTAATTCTACAGTCTCATTTTTTATTCAGGGTTTCCTACTTTCGTTTTGTTTAAGACCTAAGTATATCTGTAGCTGCTGACTTTAGGCATGTATTAATGCAGTTCCATTCTGTCTCTATGCCCCTGTCATTCGTTTCTCCCGCTGCCTTTAGTATTTTGTCTGTCCTTGTACCTAGCCTATCACGCGTTTCGTGAATAAAGATAGGAGATGAAAAATTAGAAGAAGTCGCTGATTTTCAATATTGAGGAAGTAGCTCAGGATGGAAAGAGTAATAGATATGTAATACAGAAGATAGCGCAGGGTTGAATCACCTCTAACAAAAAGAAATCAGTTCTATGATCATGAACGGTAAAGTTATAAATTCGAAAAAGATTGCTAAAGGTGAATATCTGGAGTACGGCGCAGTACGGGTGCGAAACCGATGGTGGGCGCGGCGGAAAAGAAGGGTTTTTGGGTTCGATATGTGGTGTTACATACGAATGATGAGAATACCGTGGATAGAAAGTCACAAATAAGGAGTTATTAGGAAGGGTAAGAGAACAGAGGGCGCTATGGAAGTCAATAAGAAATAGGTGAGATAGACTGTTAGGACATCTTCTCAGGCATGAAGGTCTAGTCAAAGACATATTAGAGGTCGAGGAGGAGGAGTAGAGGTAGACCTAGATCAGATTACTGTTCACAAATACTTAAAGATGTAGGATATTCTAGTTTTAAGGAAATACGAAGATTAAGCAGCTCAGGTTAAGAAACAGTGGCGGTGCGTGTTCAATTAGTTTTAATACTGACGATTTTATGATGATGATTAAATAATATTAATTGTGTTTAAGTCTAAAAGCACTTTCTACTTACTTTGAGGAAAAAAGTATCAGCTGGCTCAGGGGCTTCATTGTCTCCTACAATTGTAAAAAAAAAGTGTGAGAATTGTTTGAAAAGTCATTAAAAGGTTACTTAGTTAGTAATGATTCCTGCAATTCCTGGAAATGTATTCCACTGTTTACTGTAATGAGATTTGTATACGCATGGTCGTTTTTACTAACACGTAATGATGATGCAAGGGTGATAAGGGTGACTAAGATTGGTCACCTCTTATTTTCCCCCACCATCAACTGTTTTCCATGCGAGTAAAAATGACTTCATATGTGAACCTCATTCTAATGAACAGTAGAGTAGCCACATCATTGGGACAACTGCAGCCCTTTTACAAAAATGGTAAGTACTAAATTGTCCTGAAAAATTTATTTCAAAGAGAAAACAGAAAGTAGGTAGGTATATTTTAAATTACTGTTAAAATGAAATATACGCTGTTATTGCCTTTGCTGAAAAATTAGTTATATTTTTGAATACATAATTTAGCGGTGGCGAACCATTGTGCCTGCACGTGCCATATGTTAAAATTTTTTTTGTAAAGCTGGAGGATCGTGAAAGTACGAAATAAATAGCGGAAATAATTCTCTTCTACATTTTTATTAAGTTGAAAAGGGTAGTATTAGTAGAAAACTTAAAAATTCAGGAAATTTTGACATAAAACATTTTGTCATATTAAAAACAATGATAATACTTTTATTAATGAATTTTTTATCCAAAACCTGTGAATATTTTCTTCATTACTCCTGGCCGTTTCGAATTTTTCGGCAAAGGATAAAACCCCTTATCTTTTATTCATTCTCATTTCTAATTTTATGGTGATGGAATTATCACGTAGATACAGTTGTAAATTGTACGTAGCATCTTTAACAGATGTTTCCTTACCAACTGCAGTTAGTATACATATGTATATCTCAATTTAAACTTTAACTGGAGGGGTCATAAGATGACTAAAGTTGGGAAACACACACAACATTCACCAATTGCCCAATATATCGCAGATTGCTAGTGACCGGATTAAAGGAAACTACGATATCAAGCCTACAGCAGGTGGTTACCAAATTAGAGATCTTGTTTGGTTGTATAATCCTCGTTGTCGCAGTGGACTATCAACTAAGTTCCAACAGAATTGGGAAGGACCCTATGAGATAGTGAAGACGATTAACGACGTGATCTACCGGATTAAGAAAACTCCAAATGGGAAGCCGAAGGTAGTTCATTTTAATCGCTTGGCTCCATTCGCCTGTCAAATGAAGAGGAGACGCGGGCCAGATGATTAAGAACTATTCCTTCCGAGCCCACATTCGAAGAGTTTATGAAGGAAGACCCCCATGTTAACAGGAAACTTGGACTGACGCGGTGGAAATCCGACGAGACCTCTTTGCTATATCTAAGGAATATTCTCTCGCCCATTGCGTTTTATAGGATCTCAGAATGAGCCGTGGTATCGCGTCCGAGTTCAAACGCAGATTTGGCAGTTTGGAACATCTTGAAGACCAAGTACAGGAGGGAAGAAGCCTGTTGTGCCTACCTGACGGACGACGCAATATCTATTATCTAATAACTAAAGGAAGATGCTCTGATAAACCAATTTATAGAGAACTTTGGGACGCAGTAATGAAACTCCGTGGACATCTTCTGGAGAATAGCCTATAAAAGCTAGCGATTCCGAAGCTTGGTTGTGAACCGGACAACCTAGATTGGAGGATCGTACGGAACATGATCGAAGTCCTGTTCCGCCGTACTGGAATGGATATTTTGGTTTGAAGTAATAACCCGAATCGGACCACTCATGAGAATACTATGGGCTGTTACTTCTATTCCCGGAGCGGATGTCGTGAAGGCTAGAACTGCAGATTCCGGCATGATACTGCGAAACGAAAAGTGAAAATGTTTCGGGACGAAACATCCTTAAGGAGGGGGCAGTATAGCGAGCAGGAGTGTGTTTGTGTGCGATCGGGCACACGTGTGCGTGAACGGCTTATCGATTCGCCGACTAGCCGCGGGCGCCTTTCTTCATGTGCGCCGTATTTGTAAATGTGTGTGTCGTACCTGCGTTCTGGGAAAGCAGTTAAACAGTTCAAAGAAAAAATAAACTATCTGGATGTTTCCAGAAGGTTCCCGAAAGTAAACAAAACAGTATTTAATTGAAGGACGATCGCCGAGAGGGAGTAGAAATAAATTGACCGTTGCAGAAGTGAATCCAGGAATAAATTGACAGTGAAATAAATAGCGCAGTGAATAGTGATATATCAACAGTTGCGTAATTTGTTTAATAGTTAATAGTTCAGTAATAATTAGCGTAAATAATTAGTTTTTGTCGTTATCAGTATTAGAAGTTAATTTTGTTAAACCCACGAACGATACAATATTTACGTTTAGCCGAATACAATTACGAAGTATTCGTCAAATGGCGAGTACACGTGTCTACAAATGTGTTATTTGCCTACCATCGGTTTGTTGTGAGAAATGTTTGGTCGAATATCATAAGCAAGAGTGGTGAAATTGTTATAGCAATTTATTATTAAACTATTCCAATAAAATGGATAGTAATTCCGAAAATTAGAACGGTCAAGTCTTTATTTGGACAATAACGAATTACAAATAAAAATAATACATCAGTATTACTGTCAGAAAGCTTTTAACTTTATTGCCCGTGACAGTTGCTGCCAGTGAAAACAGTTCTTCCAAATTACAAATTAATAAAGAATGACCTAAATTCAACCATGACAGATAAGAGATTTTTTGAATTGGCTATATATGACTGCGGTAATTGTCCAGGCCAGAATCGGTCCAAAAATTTTTTCATCTATTTCCGGTATTTCTACATAATAGAATTAGATATTAGAAGGTGAGGGAGACAGTTTTTATGACTTCATAAAAAAAATTTTTTTTGAATGATAATTTTTCAAAACAGCCCCAATTATGGACAGTTATCTGCATAGATGACGTCATTGTTTGGTTAAGTAGATTTAAGACAGATTGGAGTTTATTCAACGTCCCTGCCAGCCGGAGGCTAATTCTATTATGTAGAATGATCGGAAATCGATGAAAAAATTTTTGGTGCGATTTTGCTCTGGACAATTACCATGACTGCATAGAACACATTTTGCATTTTTCAAGAACAAGCGGTCCGAACAAAATTATTAAATGCATATGTATATTATTCACAGACATGTTTAAAAACGTATTTCACATGAACACTTGTACGTTTCGTTATAAAGTGAGGATTAAATTTGGAAAATAATAACGTCCTAAAAATATTTTCAAATACGTTCCAATTGTGGAATACGTACCATAGGTTCGCCACCATTGGTTGTAGCTCAAGCAAGGTTTATATAAGTATTTTGATTTCCAGGGCGACAATATTCATCTATATTAAATAACAACTCAAACAATTTGTAAAAAAGTGAATGACTATAATAATATACCCATGTCGCCATTGTGAATACCCGCATACATAAGCTACGTTTGACAGTACTAGAGCAACAAATTGTTAACAACTTTCTAAATACAGCAAATGTCGATTGTATACGAATCTATTTTTTGTGATAAGTCACACAGCGGTGTATGAATTAACTATGGAAGATGAGAAAGACCTAATTTCGATCTGAACCTATGTAACCGACAATAATTAATTTCAAAACATTCAGAATAATCAATAAATTCGTTTTTGATTAATCTTAGATACGATCATGTGTCACTATCTCGAAAATTTTTACATGTCATTACAATTTTTACCTTTAATATTGACATATCTGATTTTTGACTTTGATCAATCTACATAGTTCTAAACCTGTGTCATCATTTTTACGCAAATAAAATTGCCCCAACATTGACGAAAAATTTGAATTTGTCACCATTCGTGTAATAAAATGCTCAACCTTATAAAAAAAACCAATGACCATTGACAGTTGATAGTTTAGGATTAATAAAAATAGAGCGGTACACGATAAAACAACGTGTATTCATTGTTGAGCAATATCTCAAAAATAATGAAAGTCTGGCGGCCATAGTTTAAAAATTTTATACGAAATATGGTCGGAATAGTGATTTAACTTCATTAACTGTAAGAAGACTAATTGAGAAATTCAGGTACAGTGGATCAATTGGCAATGCTGAACACACTGATCGTCCAAAAACAAGCAGTTCAAATGTCAATATTGAAGAAGTACACGGGAGTGTTGATGAAAATCTAGGAACATCTATTCGGCGTCATGTAAAACAATTGCAAAGTCTTCATGCTTACAAACTTCAATCAACAAAAGAACTGAAACCCAAAGAAGATCATTCTTAACGATGAAGCACATTTTCGCCGTGATGGCATCTTTAATCGTCAAAATTGCCGCATTTGTTGTTCAGAGAATCCACATTTGATTGTCGAAAAACTAATGCATCCTCAACGTGTAAATGTTTGGTGGGGACTTTAGACTGGACTATATATTTTTGAAAATTAAACTGATCAAACAGGGAATGTTACTAGCGCATGATATCGAGATATGATAACACAATTCTTTCTTACTAAACTGAATGATATTGATGTAAACATTATGTGATTTCAACAAGACGACATGGTGCTACATGCCCTATAGCCCGTGAAACAATTTGTTGCGTGAGACATTTCCTGGTCGTGCTCTCTAGAACGTGTGAATTAACATCATTGGATATCTTTTTATGGGCTTATTTGAAGTTAAAGGTCTATTCCAACAAACCCACAAGCATGCGTGTATTGAAGGAGGAAATTCAACTCTGTATCAACAAAATTTAGTCACATTTATGCAAAATGGTCATGGAGAATTTCGATAAAAAGATGCGTATGTGCCAGCAAAACCATCGAGGCCATTTGTCTGCTGTGTTATTCCATACATAACCCTATTTCTTGTACTTTACGATCCAATAAAAATAAACTGTGTTTTTTATTTAATTCAAATCTTGTGTTAATTTTGGGCCACCCTTTGTAAACGAAATTATCTATCAAAAACTACCAAGCTCAAATTTCTCATTTAATGTAATTAATAATTTGTCATTAAATAAACATTAAGGGTAGGTACATTTATTAATTAACGAGGTAAAATTCATTTCATATCTTATTGCTAGTGTGCTGAACTATAAAAAGTGTATAGAAACAGTATTACAATGTAACAAATATAACAAATAACGACTTACAAAATTAGAAATTTGTTCTCAGAGCAACATCTAAATGTTTTATTCTAAGTTGCGGTTGGATCAAGTTGAAATATTTTGTATATCATATTTTATGCCTCTCATATACCAACATATCAATAATTCTAAAACATTTTATGCATTTTCTGTTTTTATATTATGTGCTACGAAAAGGGGTAGTGTTTTTTTTGTATTATAGATAAATTTAGTAACTGAGACTCATCATACTGGAATACGTTACTTTATAGTAAATTTTTAACTCAAAAATAGAAAAAAAATCAGAATTTATGGCGGTAAATTAAAAATAAAGGTAACAGATACCATGAAATACCACTAGAAAAGGTCGTATTTATCTGGTCAACAGATGTAATGCCATTTAAATAAAATTAAATAAATTTTTGTACACCAGCCCATACAATAATATTAAGATGCCTACACTGTAAGATTTACATTCTTACCTATGAGCATGTGCTCCAACTTTTTTCTGTCAACTCGAAATCTAACTTGGTAGAGTTCCTCACCTTCTCGAAGCCCAATTTTTGCAATAAAGTCAACGAGATCTTCCCTGCAATCTTCCCATCCAGACCCCCAGCCGGAAGTTCCAGTTCCCGTCTCCGAAATTTCAGAAAGTGTGTCGGAATTGGTTTTAAGGTCTACTGCTCTCGGTGCCAAAAAATTGCAAGCCATTTCAATAACTGTATTAATGCGTGTTAGTAGTATGATCCAGATGCACGAAAAAGAAATAATTTTTGAACGTTAACTGCACCTTTTCATTTATAAAACCACCCTCACAAGTTTTCCAGTTTTTTTTTGGTTTAATGTTATATTTTAAGGTGTTGGGCTTTGCTGCCAGAGGTGGCTCGGAGTAGAGCAGCAAACTGGACAGAAAGAGAGGTTGATCTGGATGATCTTATCGGCTGATACGTCGTTGTTATCCAACAAAAAACGAAGAATGTAAAAAATACAAGGTCTTTTACTAATAATATTCTTCAGTCGCCACGTTTCTCAATTTTATTTAGATAATTTTTATTTAGATAATTTTTATATAATTTTTAATCTATACATCGAAGACGCCATCAACATCATTAAAGACAGTACAACTGTAGGGATAGATGTGCAAGGGCAAAAGATTAGTATGCTTAGATTTGCAGATGATATAGCAGTATTAGCATCTAGCAAGGAGGACCTAGAGATAGCTTTAAATAAAATGGAAGCGGTACTGACAGATCAGTACTGTATGAAAATAAATAAAAGTAAAACTAAAATACTGATATGCAAGGGAAGAAAAAGTAGGGAAAGAGCGAATATAAAGATAGGAGACGAAAAATTAGAAGAAGTGGCTGATTTTAGATACCTAGGAAGTCAGATAAGTGAGGATGGAAGGAGTAGTAGGGATATAAAGCAGAGGATAGCGCAGGGTCGTGTCGCCTTTAATAAAAAGAAGTCACTTCTATGCTCGCGAACGGTTAATTTAGAAATTCGAAAAAGGTTGTTAAAGGTGTATGTTTGGAGCACGGCGTTGTACGGGTGCGAAACATGGACAGTGGGAGCGGCGGAAAAGAAAAGGTTAGAAGCGTTCGAAATGTGGTGTTATAGGCGGATGATGAGGATATCGTGGGTAGAAAAGGTTAGAAATGAAGAGGTATTGGAACGAATAGGAGAACAGAGGACTCTATGGAAGTCAATAAAAAATAGGCGAGATAGGTTGGTAGGACACCTTCTCAGGCATGAAGGTCTAGTCAGAGACCTATTAGAGGCTGTTCTAGTTTTAGGGAAATGCAAAGTTTAGCTCAGGATAGGAAAGAGTGGAGGTTTGTGTCCAACCAGTCTTAGGACTGATGACCTTATGATGATGATGATGATAATTTTTATGGCGTATTATTTGTGAAGTAATTTTATTAATCGTAAAAAATAATTTAAGACGTATAGATTTATGCGCGTATGATGGAGTTTCAGATCAATTTTTACCAGGCGATACTTTTTTATTATAAATATAAATATGGCAAGATGCAACATGTAACGTATTGAACAAATTTAGGTTTTATACATGTATTTCTAATAAATATGAAATTCCTAGGAGTAACACTATCCTGCATTGTAATTCTTAGGCTTTGGCCTCAGTTACGACTCAGCACCTGCCCAGTCACCACTGAACATGCCGTCAGCAAAGAACGGCGAAACGTTTGGAAAAGCAAGATTCCACGGACCATGGCCAAAAAGCCCGGAAAAAAGCATAGCATCGACTATCCTGTATTTCCACTCTTGTTAAGGTAATTACAAAATTTAAGCGAAATAAATGTTAATTTAGAAAGATTACCTTGTGAAAATTCACTCGTACAATTAGTACATCGGTAAAGCTAAGCGTTCTTTGGAAATTAGACTAAAACAACATAAAATCCATAAGGAATCGCTGACTACGCGTGGAACTCAAAACACTCTAAAAGTAAAGTAATGCATAATGAACAATATTGTTGAAAAAGAAAATTGAATGAAGCAGTATTTATCCAAAACAAAAGTAATTGGTAAGCTCAGGTGAGTTACTGTTACAGTGTGATGACGAAACTTTATTAGAGACTCTAATAGAACAGTGAACACGTCTCAAAATCGGTTGCACTACTTTAGTATATCAGTGATAACAACATAGAAGAAAGAGCTGAAGATAGGACCAGCCGAAACGTTGTACGTACACATTAAAAACACAGATAATGGAAGACCTTGACGAAACATTTTCTAATCAGAATTGCAAGCATACATACATTAACTTTCCATTATTATTATTACGGTAAAAACTCTTTACAAATCGATGCTTCATAAAAATGAAGACCGTGTTGATCGCACATATGAAAGCGTTCTGCAGCTGAACTGACTACTCAATAGTTAATACTACTTACTTATAATAGTTTTAATGGAATGCACTTATAAAAACTAACTTAGATACTATTGTTTGGAAATGAAAGGGACAGCAAGTAAAGAGCCTTGATATGTTCCCAACCTAGGAGTAAAACGTTGGCCTAACTTGCGAATAAATCCAAGAATATTGTATCGAAGAAGCGAATTTTCTACTGTCATAAAGAAGCGAAATTATCTAAGTGGGGAACGTAGAAATGGCAAAGAACTATCACAAGGTGTCTTACCACCCTGCATCTTCGTAATCTTCCAATTCGACTCTTGACTCTAGACTTATTGACTTGACTACATTATCATTTTTTATTTCGCTATTTAAACGGTTGCTAAATGATCTACTAACACAGTAACGTAGTAGGTAAGTAGGCGTTAGCTTGTACTTTTAAATAAAGAATTTAGATGTACCAACTTTGTACCAGCGACCTGTATATAAATTTATGGATACCGTGTGACAATATTGACCAGAATAAGTTCAGTGCTTTCATTTAATTTTCAAAGAATTCTTTTGTTACAGTTTCCTTTAAGGTATTAACTTAAAATAAGGCCATATAAAATTTTTTTTCTAGATATTTTTCATCGATAGATAGACGATTGAAAGTTTAAATTGGAAGTTTCTGACATATTTTTTGTTGTACTTTAGACCTATCTAAAAGAACTCCATGACATGAGGCAAGTGAAAAAAATTGAATTCATAAATTCTTTATAAAATCACATCATTTACACTCTTGGGGCATCGATATGAACTTAATGAATATCCTAAGCAATACAATCAATTAGAATGTGACTTTGTTTGTTTGTTTGATTGTTTGCTTATTACGATTTCATGCCTTCACTACTCTATCGACTATCATGAAACTTTGTACACACACTGCCAGGAAAAGGACATAGGGTACCTTTTATACAGAAGAAAATACTGTTCCCGAGGGATAAAAAGAATTAGTTTTATGTGGTCGTCGACGATCTTCAACATGTAATTAGGACTTAGGACGCGAGTTAAAAGCTAGTACTACATAAATGAGACGATTTGGGAGCCATGATATATTGGAAACCATGAGCATTCAAGTTGGCTAATAATAAACGTTTTATATAAACTATTTATAAATAACGTATTTCATGGGGGACCGATCCATCACATCGACCACGTTGTTCTCTTTCGAATTCTGGATTTTCACCCTACGTCGTTATCAGGTCCTTGACTTATTAGTTAGAATTAAATGATACCATGTAGTATCGATAGTTTTACTCGCTAGTTGCAACGAAAGGAAGCATCGATACGTGCTCGGGATCGAATAGCAATTATATGTTATCTTTTTTATTTTAAGAATTTATCGAAAAATGTCTGCTTTCTTAGGATTACCTAATAATAATAGTATAGCAAATATTTTTCAAGATGCTTCCCTGAGAGATGATTCCTTGATGTGGTTATGGTAGCCTCAGGAGCGACTAAATATTAGCTAGGTGTATTTAACATACGACGGATGATATGAAAATGCATCCACTAGAACGACCAAATAAACTATTCAACATGGCCACTGTATAAAAATTGAAAATGCCTTTATGAATGTGACAAAGAAACAGAGATGTTCCTTGAACCAACTGTGCAAAATTTGCGAAAGCATGAAGAATAGGCATCGGTAGCAACAAAACAAGAACGAACCATTTTTGTTTGAAAGATTTTGCTCTCTGACCTTTACACCCTTACAGCTATTGACACGCAAACGCCATAGTGCACGAATGGAAGCTTGGGGGCTACTACGACACTATTTTGACTGCAAAGTGAAATACAGGCGCACAAACACGTGTATTTTTATATACATATACAATTTATTGACACAAAAATTGAAATTTGTATTGACATATATTTTTGAGTATGAGCGGCTATTTAAATAGTAAAGCATGGTAAATTCATGGAGTCCAGAAGAAGCAGATAGGTACATCATTGGCTCAAATGTTCGGTTACCAAATTTAAAAAATTAAGAGAGGGCGTTAGTAGTAAGATCCAAGAAGCTGGACAATTGGTGGAAATGATTAAAACAGAAAAATTGGAAAGTGTTATATCGATGTTTTCATTTTTGCTTTACATTATCTAGAATTAATAACAAAGAATTATATGGGGTTTCCCCCAAAAATTTAAATAAGTGTATATTGCCAAGGCCATCAATAATCATACACGTGATGACGCTACATCATTACGCCTATGATAACTATTCCAGAAAACAGGGCTTACTGGCCTAGCTATTATGGATTTCCGTAGCTCGGAAAATCATTATTAAAATGTCAAATTTTAGATAACATTCTAAAAATTTTTGGAGGTGAATGAGATAATAACAAAGGAATTCCAATACTTTTTTGCAATTCATCTACAATTGCAACGAAAAATTTTCTTTGCTACTGAAAAAATATTTAACTATTATGAGCATGTAATGTAATAATGATAAAGCCAGCAAGCTTCGTTTTTTTTAGTTTCGTTTTGAGGAACAAATTTTTCTACAAATATGTCCAAGTGACTGTATTTCATGAACGATTTAACAGCGAATTCTGGTAGTTGCTGCCATCTTCTGGCAATTTCGTCCTTTATCATTTGGTAGCGTCTGCGTATTTCATATGCAACTATTTCCCGGTGGAAGTTGATGTGTGTCTGTCTCGGGGTGATGTTGTGTATTTAGATTACGGGATTGTGATTTTTCATGTTTTGTGTGAAAATACCGTTTGTTTTTGCATGACTGTTGAATAGGTGTGCATAATTGTGCTTTATAGCCATACTTCCTGGACATGTAAGTTATAGTTGTAAATTATGTTCGCATTTTCTGTCGACTACAGTGTCATCGATTTTATACTGACATTTTGGTAATTAGTTTTGCTTAGGACTGTTATAGCAGGAGTGGTTTTTCGAATTTAAACCATATTAAATTAAATAATTAGCATGCCTTTATGAATATGTTTCCGACGAATGAAAATACAGTTTTAAATTTCTTTAGTTGATTACATTTTTATTTACATGTTTAAGGTTAGGTTATGACATCGAAATTTACTGTCAGTGTTAGGCATTAATACATATAGAATTTCAATTTGTTTATAGGTATTTAGACAAATATATTTTTAAATTAAGCTTATTATAATTTTAGTTCTATTACTCCAATAAGTGGTTTAAGGTGGGAAAATAGTGTCGAGTTGGTAGGTATTTCTATGTTGGTATTATTTTACGATTAAACTGTTTGGATTTTGCGTTACTGCTTATTTTGTTTTGAATGGCAAAATTAAAGTAATTTTTTGATGGGCATAATTACGTGCTGGAGGTTGTTGACATTTAGAAGAAAAAGTGTGAGTCATTTTAACATTATCCTACCTAGTCTCAAAATTTGAGTTCATTCTAGTTATGAAATGATTTAGTTACTACTAGGTACCTACCTATTTTTTTATATATTTTAAAAATCAGGTGCCTTAAGTATTGACTAAATTCGTATTTAAATCTAATATATAATATGAATTTGAACCAAACAAGCCTGTTCAGCGATTGTGGAATTGGTGTGAACAAAATTGACTTCTTAAATACATAGCAGCTTATTTAATTTATTTGATAATAAAGTAAAATTTGTTCGATGAGTCGATTAGTTTTAATTTTTTTTATATGGAAAAAATTTGCATATTTCACTGTTATAAGGATCACGTGCACACCTATCTTACGTAAGGTATAAGCCAAAATGTTTAGGCACTGTTTGCAGAATTTAAAAACATTATGAAACCGAGTCATACCTATTTGTACTGCGTTAACAATTTCTAAGGTGCAATAATTAAAAATAAATGACATCGTATTCTACCTTTATCTTAAATTTCAAATACGTCATAAAATCCATTTTAATATATTTACAATAGTTATTGCCATTGCTATGGCATTGTAAACGTATTGTTTGAAAGTTTTTTTTTAACTTTTCTACTGATAACGTTACAATAAAATGCTGTTCAGTTTTAAAAACCTATTTGCTTTAACTTATATATACAATGGACAAAATTTTAATAATGTTGTCGTTACGTATAAATGCAAAGAATTAGGACAGAAATTAAAATGATTGTAATTGTAGGTATCTACCCACCTACCTAGGCACACTAGTAAAATATAGTTTTTATTCTAAATACGCTTATTGTAAAATTTACTTTTTGTGTTTACTATCCCTTTATCTCTTTTACTTACCGACTTCATCGTCATCATAAGGTCGTCAGCCTTAAACTGATTGGACACGCACCTCCACTCTTTCCTATCCTGAGCTAATTTTTGCATTTACCTAAAACTAGAACATCTCACATCCTTTACTATTTGTAACAGTAATTTAATCTAGATCCACCTCTTAACTCCTGCTTCTGCTTCCAATATGTCTCTAATTAGCTCTTCGTGCCTGAGAAGGTGTCCTACCAATCTATCTCGCCTATTTCTTATTGACTTCCATAATCTCTCTCTGTTTTCCTATTCTTTCTAATACCTCCTCATTTCTAACCTTTATCCACAGCATCCTCGCCTGTAACACCACATTTTGAATGCTTCTAATCTTTTCTTCTCCAAGAAGAACGCCAAAACTTTTGCAACTGAAAATTGCCTAATAAGAATTCATTCCGGTAAAATTTCGGCGTCGGTTCCCAGCTTCAAGTTCAAACCCCCGGATACCTAAAACCGCCGATTATCTGGTTATTGCCGATCTTTCACACCATTTACGTTTTTCATTCGATCCAATAAGTTGGTCTATTAATTGGTGAAACTCGAATTGAGCACAGAGCGTAAGCAGGTAAATAAGTAGTTATCGAGGGTTTGTTTATCAGGAAAGGAATTGAGCACAGGGATCATACAGGTAGCAAATAAAATTACCGATGATAAGAACAACATTAACGTTGTAATGTTGCCGAATATAACTAGTTTGTAAAGGGCGGAAGAAATTAATAAAAACAAGGGAATACCCTTATGCAATTATAGTTATCATTGTCTTGTACCATAAATAACATGTCTTCAATAAAATTTGGGCCGAACAGTCTTCTAGACACTTGCGAGGCATTCCATTCGAAATTTAAGAAGGAAAACGTCTCTTCGCATCCCAATATCTATTCTTTTTTAAAGATTCTGATTGAAATTCAAACAGACACTTACATAAAAATAAATTCAGTTAACCAAGTTAAAAAAAAAATTAGGATGGTGAAATATCAAGATACGACTATGCAAAATGTATTTCTTATAAAAATATCGTTAGTTAAGTTAATATTATGTATCTAATATAAAGTTGAAATATTAATCCTATAAGTACTTGTAACAAATAAACAAAATCATAAGTGTCCGACCGAAAGTTCGGTTTCGGTTGAGTTTCGGCAAAAAAACGAGTTTCGGTTTCGGCGGCAAACCTGCTGAAGCTACGACCGAAACCGAAACTGCGTTCGGGAGTTCTCGCGCTCTGCTCGGTCATGTTCGACGCGTTAAATTCCATCCAAGCGAAGTGTACTATACTTACTTAAATAAACATCTCACCTATTTTGAGTATTTTTAGGGCGCAATTAAAGTATTTCCTTAAATGAGGGGTTGTTATGTTGATTTTGATTTGATTATCAATAAGTGAAAATGTCAAAGACTGCAGAGCTATGTGATTTAAAGATAAAAAATAAAACTGACTTATTATAATAACGTTTTCTTTATTTTTCTCTCAAAACATGATCCTTATAAGGTTTCGGCCGAAACTGAGACCGTTGCCGAAATTCGGTTTCGGTTTCGGTCGTAAAAACTAGTTTCGGTCGGACACCAAAAATCATTCAAAGTAAATATTGTTTTTTGTTACAACATTCCATTAGAATTTACCTACCTACTGCTTCGAAAAGAACTCAAATCCCTACAGATATTTTAAAAGAAAGCTGGCAACATGGCTTGTGCTCAATTCGGGTGTTTATTTAAACACATGCAGGTAAGAAAATCTTTGTGCTCAATTCAGGCGTCCGTTTGTGCTCAGTTCATGCTTATTAATCGTTTTTGTGCTCAATTCAAGTGCACCGTAACGTTTATTTATTCTTTATTTTACTTTTAGTTGAGCTATTGTCAAAGTTTTTACCGTTTTTTATAAACGTCACAGAATTTGCTTTCTATCTTACCTGGACAGACGTCTTCGCTTTCCAATTCGTAATCTGCAAAAAAAATATTGAGGTACATCAATACAGCATAGTTATAACAAAAAACTGCCTCCGATAACGAATACTTCATTTATAGTTACTTCATAAAGCACTTTAAAATGTATTGGAAATGAAATGATCATTTGGCGAAACATCTTAACAACAAATGTGAATTGGTTTGTGTTCGTTTCACAATTGTATTTCAATTTTTGACGGTCGTTTCAGTTAGTATACCAATTTCAAAAGAGTACTCACATTATAACCTAATCTATAATATAGATTCTGTTCTTAAATACTATTTCTATTTTACAAACAAATGTATAGTACCTTACCTTGTAGAAATATGTTAAAAAAAAAATTTTTTTCAGTCTGAAGATAGTTGAATAAACCGAAACGTAACAAAAAACATAAACTTGTTTCATTATATATAATATGGTCATTAAAAGCTTTTACAAGTGCTTAAAGTTGATGCTTCGTGTAGGACACGTATTTTCAATAGAAATTAAAAAAATATAAAATGGCCTTCGACAAACTTTATGTATCTTACTGCAAAATTGCAAACCTCTGTTCCAAGTATTAAACTCATGATATCTAGAGCCGATTAGCACTCTATGGCGCGTGTACTACTGAATCCCCTTAATGTATCGGCATCTTTTGAGCATGTACTGGTGATAAGTGCCGAGGCAGCTTTTATAAAAGATGTAACCGAGTGGACTAATTTAAAAATTCAAAACAAGAAAAAATCACTAAATTTTTTAAACTCTTGCCTAAGGCAGATTATAATGATAAATTGCGAATTTATCGATACATTTATTTTACTTTGATGCATATTGGTTTTATTTTGGAACCTTAGAACGTATCCCCTATGATTCCATACTAATTACCATTCCATATCCACGGTTTCTGTATTCGCGGCATATTTATGGAA